TCGCTCAGGACCGTTTTACAATTTTTAGAGAGTTTAGAATGCTTATCGAGCGGCTGTGGCTGCTTGGATTTCTGCGTAACTGGAGGCTTCGTAGTCCTCGCTAGTTGACTCACTTCTCGAGCTCGTTTGGCTCGAGGAGGCTGTGTAGTCTCTCGAATGCCCAGTTGACGGGCCGTAATTTCCTTAGCAAATCATAAACTCAAAAGATTTATCGTAAAAAATCATGACCGATAAGAATAAAGCAATCATGCTCAAATATAGGGTTAAGAAATCCATGTTAATAGGTGTAACATGTATATACATGTGTAAAATCTTTGGATGATTAAGATCCATGGAATGAAATAAGAATCCACGAGAAGCAATATGACAGTGGTATTGATATGATGCAGCTATCAGTATATAATCCCTAAAGGCAACATGAAAAATTACACCTTAAAATAATTCTCGGTCAAGGCATTCAAGTTTTGTTCATAAAGAAAAAATTGGATTTGACAAGCAGTCGTGGACCTTAAGTGCTAAAGTCATATTATGAATTTCACTGAGGCATAAATTAGTCAATCAATGCAAACCCATAAAGCATGCCACTACAGTTCAGTTTAGACAGCCTTATGTCTAGGCAATCCATGCATGAATGAGTGTAAGTGTATGTGTATCCACCAATAAAGTCACAAGCTTGACTATAATTCACTTAGCTTCTCTGCCTTCTACCAATAAAGTGTATGTATATCTCATGCATGAATTCAATATTTACGTATGTCAATTGACAATGATTGAGAGGGTTATGCTTTTCCCTGATTTTTTAGCAAACCTGAATCTTGTTGTAGGAAACAAGATACTTCGGCCATCTATCATGGAAGCATACGTTCAATCCATCTTCTACCTTCATTGCAGGAAAATTTATTGAACGGTGAAGAACCCTAATTACTTGGTTTTGTCACGATTCTTGTGTTGGGCCCTCAAAAAAGAGACGTTCGATGGATGTCTCGAGCAGGCACCAAAATAACCAAGATTTATAATATAACGTATTAATCATCAGATCATATAATATCCACGTAAAAAATAAGTAGATTTGCTATTGGAGCCTTACCGTACAAAAGCCAAAATTAAACAATGCTTCAAAGTATAAACCATGGTTATGGACAACCCCCAATAAAATATACAAAAGATCATCGGATATAATCTTATATGGTTGATAAGAAAAGGCAATTATCTTCCAATACAGAATCAAGAAACCCATGTGAATAGATGCAACGTGTAGATCTGGGTCAAAGAAATTGCATTCTCAAAATTATAGAGTCCCAAGCTGAGCAATCCAGTATGTAAACTGAAGTCATGTCATCGAGATTCATATGCGTGATGTATAATTATCGCACCATCACATTCTTAAGCACACTAGTTTTGAGCATGCATGTAGACAAAACTAATATTGATATTAGATCAGATAAAACTCGAGTGATTAATTCAAATATCCTAGCACTCTGTTAATGAAACGTGGCGACACATAGAGATCACCAGAAAGAGACATGCAACTAGAATATTCTCGAGTTCACCCCCAAACGAGGAAATAAGTGTTAAAATATTTCATAAAACCAAGTTGGGTCTAAAGCAAGAGGTGAACATTGCACGAATTTAGATCACATGTAGTAAGATAGTAAAGCATTAAAGGGGTTTATGTGTAGTTATGTCCTTGACTTATCTTCGCTACTAAGGAAAAGACAATCTTAATCAAGGAAAACATTAATCTCGAGCAAAAAAGGGAGAGGGCATAGTTTGACCAAAGAAGCAAAGCAATCTGATGGTTGATGATTAATTAAAGGTTAAGCAAGCATGTCAATTGCCATTATCGTTGCATGATTTGTCTTATATCAAGCTAACACCTCTAATGCTCTTCATTAGAATGTGGCGATCCACCACAAATTAACATAGAATTTAGCAATTATCCAGTATGCAATTTGATAGCACAAAATGGAAAAAGCAATTTGAGCAATGATCACGAGAAGGAAGCATTGCTATGTACCTATTATGCCCATTAAACCGAAAGAAATAAAGGAAATTGATCACGGTAGATCAATTGATCATTGATTGAAAAAAAGGAGCAAGCAACCATGTAGTCTTGGTTCTTGAAATCAAACTTCTGCATTTATGAGTATATGTGCTATTTAACCATTAATTAATCACTATATTGGATGTGGATTAAACATGTTCAAATTAGATCCATATGTGTATAAATCCTTAAGGGAAAACCACGGGCCAAATCAAGACAAAAATGAGGGTGGTACTATAATAGATTGATAGTACATATTTCAGAAAAGCTTTATGCTCCAAGCCTTGATACGTGGATGATTTACTATGTAATAAATCCAAGAAAGCAAATTGAAGAAAAAACCCTTACTTCGTGGAGTGATCATTGAATGGACATGAGAGAGAACATGCAATCATATAACATCAAACCATGCGAGGATTATCAATCCCCATATTCGAACATACTGTTGCAAGTTCTTGGACAGGAAACAAAAAGATAGAGTTCGTACATGCAAGTCATCATATATACGGCTGGTTATATTAAAAGGTATAATTAACCAAAAACACAAAACCTGGTATCCATGATTTGGCTTAAACCTGAGCCGAATTATGATGATGTGTGCTTTATGCTCTCCGCAATCAGAAGGAGACATTCAACTCGAGAAGATTTGGTGAAGGGGCAAACCCTAATCGGGTCCTACTGGGCGTGCCACTTGACGAGGGATGGAATTGTATCGACGTCTCCGTTTGGTTATTCCGGCGGCTAAGGCGGTATCGAAACCCTAAAACCTGCAAAAGAGGGCCTCGGGGTCTCCCGAGGGTAGACACTCCGATACTTAAGTCAGTAAGAGTATTCGTAATTAGGGTATAAACCGGGTGCATAAAGCGTACCTTTAACCATGAGGGGTTGATCCCTATTTATAGAGTTAGGTTATGGAACCCTTTCTTGGTAAGAAACTAATTATGAATCGACCTAAAAGCTTCCAGAGGCCGGTTGGACCTTTTACCGAACTTGGGCCGGCCTAGTCACGCGCCGTACTAATTTGGACTCGTCACCAGCAAATGGTTAATTTCTTCAATCAAATGTTGTTGAATTTTATTTGCATGCATGTCGTGGATTGACATGCTCAGGAGCTCAATATATAGATTAAATAATCGTTAAATCCATGCAGAGTACGACCTAGTTGGATAATTTTTTAACCGTAGTAACTCTGTCGGCTTTACGCCTTTTACCTATTTTATTTTATTTTTTTAAAAAAACTAATATTGATTACTCCTTCACTTTTAAACAACTTGAAACAGAAGTAATTTAAACGAATATCTTTAGCATGTAAAAGTTAAAAACTGCGGAATACGAAAACTAACAACACTGAAACTATGAAAGTTGTGGCGAGTGACACACATATATTAATACAAATCACAAGATATTTAACTCAACAAAAAAATGTTACATATGACCCAAACCAGAGAAATTTTGTATTCAACGCACAATAACAAAGTCAGTCCAATACTCCCTGTAACAATAATATTTACGATAACTTCATACAACTACATCCTTTTAATTCATCCATTTTGGGTGTTAATGTTTTAGTTGAATAATAAACAAAGTACTACTACTAAATGAGTTATCTCCAAATGATGTTAGTAGGAGGCGATTTGAACCTCAATAGGTGTAATAATCATTTAAAAAAAGAAAATTGCATAAATATATTAATACTAATAATATTCCCTCTTGTTCTAACCACTTATCAATTATTTTTGCGATGGGAGAGATGAGCAGAAGTGCACATAAATAAACTAGAGAATCAGTTTGATGATTATCCCACCCGAAATGCAAACTCAAGTATCCAAGTCAGCACTAAACATGAGGCAAAACACGTTCCAACTCACTTTGAAGTGAGAATAACCACACTTAACTTCACTGTTTGCTCATGCACCATTTTTATATCCAAAGGTCGAACCCAGATTTCAGTTCTGAAAGCATCTTTGGGAATATAAAACTCGGAATGAAGGTCCATTTAATGCCGTTTTTGTCTTTCGATTTTTTATTTTCCCATTCTTCTAAGGCCCGTATTGTTGTCAGCTGGTTGACTTTGAAAACATCTACGATACCTTTGGATCACTGAAATTCTTTTTCCTTTTCTTTCTTTTTTTTTTTTTTTTAAATTAGCTTTGGGTGCATCAAATCATTATGTATCACTCTGACTTCGATCCTTTCATTTATCGACAGAAATAAATCGCTACACGTTAAATGCAACCGCATGAATACTTTAGTGAGTATTCCTATCGGGCTATCACACTCCTTTTGTATTGACTTGAAAGTATATTGAGTAAATTAATTTATAGATGGAAACCAAAATAATAAACTCTTGAAAAGTTACAAAATCCCTAGTGAAGGTTTCTCTGTCGGATGAGGACTACTTTAGATACAAAAACTAACAAAAATGTGAATGTCACCCTATTATTGTCTTCTAATAAGCACTACTAATAGATATCTCACCAAATTTATATTTATCTCACTTTTGGATTTCACATTATGTGACATTTATTGGTTTGGTCATCATTTGATGAATTTTGTCTATAAAATTAAATAAAAACTTCATGGATGAATAGCAAGTAAGGTGAAAAATATGCAATGGATCAGATAAAATCGGCGAGATGTGTATGATTGTTTTTTTAAGCATCTAACAGTATTCATATTCAGTTAGCGACTACCTCGAACTCATTTTTTTTTTTTTTTTTACTAATTGATTGAATTCTTGTATAGAGTAAAACGTCACTTGGAATGTACTACAAATTAATTATTTTGTATTTGACAAAATAGACAAGAAAAAACAAACATCTATAAATACTACTCTTCTGATAAATGCAAAGTACACAAGCATCTAGCTACTTGTATTTACACACAAACAAAGCAACAATCAAGCCAGCCACCCAAAAAGAAAAAAAAAGAAAAAGAATTCCTCTGAAATCATTCAATGGCAATCAAACTACCCTATAAGCTCATCTCCATCTTCATCATCATCCTAACTCACTCAGCAACGCAAGTTCTTTCAGTAGCCCCTGAATGTGGATCCGAAGAACACAATTCATGCAACAACAAACACAAGGCTTTACCCCTCAAAATCATCGCCATTGTTTCTATTCTCATTACTAGCATGATCGGAGTTTCTTTACCCCTCGTAACTCGTTCCATCCCGGCCCTAAGCCCGGACCGAAACTTATTCGTGATCGTGAAGGCCTTCGCTGCCGGGATCATTCTCGCGACCGGATTCATGCACGTTTTGCCGGATTCATTCGACATGTTGAGCTCCAGCTGCTTGAAAGAAAACCCGTGGCACAAGTTCCCGTTTTCGGGTTTTCTGGCCATGCTTTCGGCTATTGTGACGCTGATGATTGATTCCATGGCTACAAGTGTTTATACTAGGAAGAATGGGAACACAAAAATGGCTGTGATTCCTTCGAATGGAAGTCCTCCTGGTGATCAAGAAATGGGAGGTGTTGTTGATGGACATGGCGGTCATTTCCATGGTCATGGCGGCCATCACCATGGATCATCCATGATCAAGAGTGATGCCGTCGGCTCCCAACTCTTGCGTTATCGAGTCATTGCCATGGTAATTAACCATCCTCTTTTTTTTTTTTTTTTGCAGTATATTAAGCAATTCAGATTCATGCATGTTTTATTTTCTTTTTGTTTAACAAAAATAGTACTCCCTCCCTCCGTCTCATAATTATTGTCCAGTTTGGATTTTTATTTCTAGTTCAAATTGTACTAAAAGTGAAATCTCAAATATGACAATAATTTTAGGACAGAGGGAGTACTACTAAAAAATATGTTTTCTTTTCCCCGAGAGTTTGGTATTAGAGATGCCTGTTTGGCTGCGATTTTTGGGTGCATACGGGATTTAGATTTCTCCTAGAAAGGACGTTTGTTTTTCTTTTTTGGCTCATAACTCTATATTTGGAATACATTTGACTGATCGATTGTGAAGAAAACAAATAGAGGGGGTCTACTTTTTGTCTGCAAATTTTAGGAAACTTTTTGACTAGAACACTTCAACCCAAAAAAACAAAAACATTTCTTCTCATTCATCCTTAATGTGAAAGAATCCAATTCGAGAAGGTAATTTGGAAGGTTCTTTTATACAGTGTACTTGTTTGTTTTTTCTTTGTTGTTTTTTTTTTTTTAATTTAGGAAAATGTTTTAAGATATGTACCGTAAAAAGTTTTGCAGTTAAGGGGGAACAAATTTAAACCAACCTAAACAGATGAGTAACACCCAAACATTCTGGCTCTGCTAGGCAAATGAATGCGTGCAGCCGTGTTTTTATTTGTATATTTACTATATGTAAGAGAAAAGGAATACTTTTTCAGTCTCAAAATATTTTAGTATCAACTCTCAAAATTCAACGTGAACTATTTTTTTTTTTTTGGAATAGGTAATAGTAAATATATGATTAATTGAATTAAACAATTTTCATATTAGAGTTGGACTAGTCAACAATGGGGGTTCTGCTTCTGTTTTTATTGGTGAGGTTGATAGGTCATTTGCATGATTGCATCGGTCTGATCGTTGGATTTTTCTATAGATGATTGGTTGAAAGTATTCCACATTAATTATTTGTATCCAGAGATCAAAAGTCTTAAGTCTTCTTCTTTTGTGAAGTAGTACAGTATATGTATTTTATGCAAAATGTTACAAACAATAAAAAAGTTATGAATATCCTTTTCTATTTAATACACGCGAATTCAATTTTCAAGAAGTCAACTGGATTGAAGTAGAGAAACGTATGTTGACGCGATTCTTTTCAGACTTACATATTATCAGCTACTGATCTCTCTTTATCTATGCAGTCCATTATTTGCCATTCATTACTCATCGCTTGCATTATTGTTTCATGAATTTTTTTATTCGTATCAAATTACATTACATTAATTTGTAATGGTGAACTTTTATTATTATTATAAGTTCGGAACTTTCAAATCTGTTTCAGTAATTCTTTCTTCTTTTTTTTTTTTTTTTTACCGAAGCAAATTAACGTTGTCAGTTTTCACATTGGTTATTTCACAAACATTTCTAATCAAAGAATATAATTTTACAAGAATAAGGATGCATCAATATTTTGTTGCAGGTTCTAGAGCTTGGAATCATTGTGCATTCGGTGGTGATTGGACTATCTCTAGGAGCCTCCAACAATACGTGCACAATAAAAGGGTTAGTTGCAGCTCTCTGCTTCCATCAAATGTTCGAAGGGATGGGACTTGGTGGTTGCATTCTTCAGGTAATTAAACCATTTGATAGGTTACATATATATTCTTTCCGTTCAAAAATAATTGTCACGGACAAAAGAAGTATTAGTAACAAATAAGAAAATGGCATTTCAACAAATTAAATTAAGTTGAGAGAAAAAAGAAAATGAAAAATTGACGATAAATTGCTAGCGTTATGAGTCGTAATCGGGTATAGTTACCAGTCCTTAGTAACCAGAATCTTGAGAGAATTTTTTTTTTTTAAAAAGATAAATCTCCACCATGTAATTGGCAATTGGTACAAATTGACCCTCTCAAGTTGCTTGCATGTGTTACAATTGTCAAATGACATTAATTGAATTCCCTGGTAGGCTTCACAAAATGCAAGTGTGGGGTGTCCCCATAAATTTGGAGATCAGACCATAATGCAAATAAATAAATAAATTATACTAATTTTTTCGTCCCATTTTAAAAGTTCACTTTGTCAAAATAGAACAGAACAAGACTAGTAATCATGAGACATATCAACTACAAATTAAAATGTATTGATTGATACAGGCAGAGTATGGTCTATTGAAGAAGGCGGTGATGGCATTCTTCTTCGCGGTAACAACACCATTTGGAATAGCACTTGGACTGGCGCTATCAAGCACTTACAAAGAGAACAGCCCTCGTGCATTAATCACCGTCGGATTGCTCAACGCCTCGTCGGCCGGACTTCTGATTTATATGGCGTTGGTGGATTTGTTAGCAGCTGATTTCATGGGTCCAAAGCTTCAAGGCAGCATCAAACTCCAGTTCAAGTCTTATGCTGCTGTGCTTCTTGGTGCCGGAGGAATGTCTCTCATGGCTAAATGGGCTTGAAATACCTTCCTTGATGATGAAGATATATTGCCACACCCCAAATCCAGTGAAAAAAAAATTATGGAATGAATTGTAACTATAATTTCCATATTATGTCGTAATGTTGTTTTTTATTTTCTTTGTTTTTCATGAGTTCGAGTTGAATGAAAATAGTTAGCTACTTGTATTAGTACACCACCAGTTTCTGAAATTTTACAAAATGAAAGAAGGGAGAATTGATCATTGTATCAATTTTAAAGTTTGTTTTCAAGTGCTATATAGCGGAAAATAACAAGAGTTATAAAAGGCATCATTTTCTTCTTTTTTTTTTTTTGGTTTTTCTTTTTTGAGACCGTGCCCACTCTGCGAAAAGAGGAAAAAAAAAGAAGAGAAGAAATGGGTCATTTTGCGACTCTTGAGTTTTGAGAATATTGTCTAATTTAGATTTTATTTTTATAAATGAAAATTGCATTATTATAAATAAAAATTCAACCTGAATAATATTTTTTAGATAAAGAGTATTTTATAAATTTGTGGCATGAATCAAATTTGTTAGTGTGTATGTATTAGGGTTAAGGTTATTATTGTAAACTCATCTATATTGTACCCTATATTTATGTATGTACACCTTATACAATACTCAAGATTTTATACACTTTCATGGTATCGAGCCTCTTATGTATGTAGACCGCCTCTTTCTTCTTGCTCCTTCTTCTTTTTGCTGCAATTTGCGGTCTCTTCGAATCTCTACTTTGCTGTTGAATTTGCCGCAATCTTCTTCCTTGTTGCGGTTCGATTATCCTTTCTATCGCCGACGACACGGTCGCCGCTGCTATTCTTCATCATCCTTCTCCGGTCTTCTTTGGTCTTCATTGTTGCTGTCGCCTGATCTCCTTCTTGCCGTTGTTTTTCCCATTCATCTGCCGCTTTCTAGTCTTCAAGTTGGCCGTCTCCGTTGCTCTTTGTTCTTGTTTGCTTCTGGTTTTCTTATAGATCACTTAGTTTGGCGTGTTTTGGTTGTGGTGTTCTTTTTGCCACGAATTTTGGTTCATAAAAAAAAAAAAACATTTGCTGCTGCCTACGTTGCTGCTTTCTGGTTCCGAGAAAATCCGGTTCTATCCATCTTGGTTCAACCTAGTTCGATTCTGTTCAATTCACCCGGTTTGGTTTACCCAGTTCGGCTCGATTTGGTTAAACCGGTTTGGTCCGATTCTGTTCATTTGGTTCGCTGTTCTGGTCTGGTTTGGTGGGTTCAACTTGATACAGGTTGATTCACATTCTGGTTTTGGTTAACTCGAGCACCTCTTCTTAGTAAAGTAGCAAGTAGGGTCGATCCCACAGAAAAGGAATACTAATTACCAGGTATAAATTACTCCTATTATTATCTAGATAAATTATGATCTCAGATTTATAAAATTTAAAACTAAAATAAATAAATAAACTAAAAGCAAATAATATTAATTCGAATAATCAGACAAAGAAAACCTAGGACATTGGGTTCACCTACCGAATATTTGGTTTAATTCAATTCACGAATATTTGACTTTTAACTTCCATTAATCTCACAACGACTCACCTAATTAAGAACTATACACTCTCGTGTTATAATTCTCTTACTTATATTAAACCTATGACTACTCTCGTGACTATAGGGATTAACAAAAGCACATTAAGAATCAAATATTGTAAAGTTTATAATCTTACTCTCGTAGCTTACAGCCTAAGTTTATTATTCCTGCGAACTAATACTAATCTTCCACTCTCGCTACTTCGATTAGTATCTTCAGACATGCAAATAGTGGCCAATTACTTACACGAATTAAAACAAGAATAACAAATATTAATTAATGAAAAAATCAAATAATAATGAACCAAATAAACCAAATAAATTCGGCGGCTACACCCAAGCCCTAGGTTATAGAAGTCTAGCCTCTAAACATTATAAAAATAATTCAATAATATTTAGAGATATAATCCTAAAAATTTCTGAATTAAGTAATTAAAACAAAAACAATAAAACCCGGAAGTCTCGGCCGAAAACAAAAGCTTTGAATCCCTTGTTTGCTTCGGTTGTGCGTGGCGGAGGACTTGGCTTCTTGGTGGTGCATGGATGTGATGGAGAAGAGGAAGAAGTTGGTGCTGCGTGTGTGGTGATGGAGGAGAGGTGGTGGTGATGCTGCCGGTGAAGGAGGAGAACCTCGGTTGGTGCAGCAAGGAAGTGGAGGTGATCGGCAAGGAGGAAAGAAGGTGGACGGCGGGGAGAGGGAGAAATTGCAGCGGCGGAGGAATGTTTTTAACCGTAGGGTTTCGGTGAGTTTTCGGTCAAGTTCGGTCCAGTCCTGTTGTAAAAATAAATCCCTAATCCTCCTTTTATAGGCTTCCGTCAAAACCCTACTTCTTGGAGAGCAAGAAAAATTGTTTCCCAAATAATATCGGGATTAAAATTCTTATCCAATTCCAATCCCAAATCAGCCGCACCATCATCGTTTGTTTGGCCAATTTCCAAAAACTAAAAATAAAATTCCAAAATTACATCATCGGCCCTCCAATTCTCTAAACTCATTAATTTCTTCCCCATCAATTGCTCCAATCTTCAATTCTTTCCCATTGAGTTACTTTTAATTTCATTTTAGCTCAAAACTTCAACAATTCCTCTAATTGAGTATAATTCCTACAATTAAAGATAAAATCACATAAATAGCATATTTGTTCTCAAAATATATTACAAAAATCATAAATTAGGGATATAATAAATAGGTAAAATATAAGCATATCAGAGCCTATAGAGTCTTCTACTTCTTCGGTGTTTGTCGGCTCTCCCATCCATGCTTCCTCTTTTCAACATTTGGTTTAGTACTTCACTTGTCAGGGTTATGCTCACAAGGCTCGTTTGTGTCCTTTGGTTCCTAGACACGTGCTGTCGTATTCTTCCACTTTCAACACCTATCATGCCACACTTCCCATCAGCAGCCATGGTATTTTGACTCTGCAGCTGGTGTGACCATGACTAATGATTCTGTTAACCTTCTCACCTCTTCACCTTACACTAGTATGGACACAGTATGTGTTGGTAATGGTGCTATGCTAGGTATTAAATCCCTTGGTTCCTCTTCTATTTCTTTTAAATTA